GACTTAGTTGTTCTACGCTATGTCCCAGACTTTTATTTAGAATTGTTGTGGTTGAACATGTGTCCCCTTGAATTCACATGGTAAAATACTAAGGCCCACAATGATAGTGTTAGGTGAGACTTTTGGGAATTGATTAGGTTTGAAGGGCAAAGCCCTGGTGAATGGATTAGTGCCTTTAGAGAAGAGGCCCTAGAAAGTGCCATTGACCTTCTCAACCATGTGAGGACAAGCTAGACAGTGCCATCTGTAAGGCACAAGCGGACCTCTCCAAACACTGACTCTACTTGTACTTGATCTTGCTAGTTCCAGGCTCCAGACTTAATAGAGGTACTTAATAGAGCAGGAAAGTACTTACATACTTAATAGGAACTTAATAGAACAGGAAACATTTGAAGGAAGTCTAGATAAGGGAGTGGAAAGAAATCTGGAGACATTGATGAGACTTAAAGTCAGACATCTGGGCTCTTGCTCTATTGTGATCTCTCTAGGCTTATGTCTTAAGCTGTGTAATTACTGTGGTTTAATTTTTTTTCTCTACCTCAAACTAGTAACTAATATATACATTATGAAAATGTATATAAGCTGAATTATGTCTTAGTAATGGTGCCCTAAAAATCTCTGAGATCTACATTTTTTTATATAGTTCAGTAGATCAATCTTTTAAGGTCTTGAATTAGTTTAAAAAGGCTGTTGCTGCCAGGTGCTCATGCTTATAAACCTAGCTACTTAGGGTTATAAGTGAGACTGGACAAGAAAGTCTGTGAGACTCTTATCTCCAATTAACCACCAGTGGAGCTATGGCTCAAACTGGTAGAGTACTAGCCTTGAGCAAAAAAAAACAAAACAAAAAAACTGAAGGACAATACCCAGGCCCTGAGTTCAAGCCCCACAACACACACACACACACACACACACACACACACACACACACACACACACACACACACGGCTTTTACTATTCCAAGTATAAAGGAGTATACCAGAATTATAGTAGTATTTACCTTTAGCATGTGTTTGACTTTGGCTTTGAATTAGTGGTAATTTCCTGAAACATGTTTGCCCTTTTATCTATTGTTCAATGAAGAGAACAGTAAAAATCAGAGTGCTGATCATAGTGCATCTGAGTATGAAACAAGGAAATGCGCTCCCCTCTTTTTTATGGTTTAGGAACATGCAAAGATGGTTACCAAGCCATAAATGAGGCATCCAGTTACCTTTTACACCTGACCCTCACTGTCTTAGCCTCTGTGACCTGTTAGGAAGTTGGTCTCTTTGCTCTGGAGCTGCCACAGGTCTGGCTCAAGACCTGAGGTAGTCACAGAAGGGCTCCTATTGAAGCTCCTTTTTATTGACATGAAAGAAGAGGTTGAGCAGATGAGGAACTAGGCATCTGTGGCAGCTTTCCTCTTCCAAGGTAGGCCTGCCCATCAGCAAACTCACCTGAGCTACCGCAGTTCCTTTAGGGACCTTCAGGGACTAATGCAGGTGTCTTAGGGGCCAACTTAAACTTGGAAGTATTTAGAAAGAAAATCCTAGGGAAAGTTCCAGCTGAGCTCCATGCACATGGCATAAGGCTGCCTCGGCTAGTACTTCTAATATTTATATTTTTTCTACATTACAATGGGTGACATGGGGTGGGGAGAGTAAGGGAGGAAAGGAAAGAGGAAGAGAGATTGCCTGAGGGTCTCACAGATAGTAAATGGGACTCACTTTGGTGTCTTTTAATCACTGCCTGATGTTTCCACTTATTTCTGTCAGTAGCCCAGCCTTGTCTTCCAGGGTGGACCTCAGGCCATCTACCCTGTGGATGTTTTCTCTAAGATTAAGCTTCTCAGAAGGAGGCTCCCAAATACTTTGCCTCCCCCCCCCCCAAAAAAAAAACCCTGCTGACTCTAGTCTTCTAGTCTTTCTGACATTATTCTTCCCTAAGTGATAAATTCCCCATGTCTCTTTGCCAGAATCTGGCTCTGACATCTGGTGGGAAGTTGGCTTGTGGCAGGTTGGCTGTGTGGTGGAAAGGAAATAAACCAACCTCCCCCCTCCCTCCACCTTGCCTTCAGAAGTGAGCTCCCAGGGGTGGCAGCCAGAGGAGATGACTCCCAAGGTCAAGGGTGGCAACTTGGGGGAAGAGAGGGTCCCTCAGCTCCTTAGAACCTCCAAGGTGGTGAGCACATATGTTTTTCCACCTCTGGAAATCTAGGTCTCAAGTCTGTCAAGGGGAGAGGTTGAATAGAATCAGAAAGAAGGGCTGGGAAGGTGGCTCAGTGGTAGAGCACTTGCCTTGCATGCATGAGGTCCTGGGTTCGATTCCTCAGTACCATATAAGCAGAAAAAAAAGCTGGAAGTGCTGCTGTGGCTCAAGTGGTAGAGTGCTAGCCTTGAGCTGAAGAGCCGAGGGACAGCGCCCAGGCCCAGAGTTCAGGCCCACTGGAACCCCCCTGTCCCCCCCAAAAAAATAGACTCAGAAAGAACACTTGTGGAGAGCAAAGTGAACTCTGAATTAGGGATGTGAGAGTACTTTGTTTACTTGATGGACTACCTTAGTCTCCTAATCTGTGCCTTTTCAAATGCCTTGAGAAAACTAGAATTGTGTTGATATGTAATTCCCTACTGACTGGTCTTATTTTGCTTTGGATTCTATAACAGGATACTAGTGGGAATCCTTCCCTCCTTTCTTTTTCTTCCACAGTTTTGGTTTCAATTTAGGACCTTGTATTTGCTAGGCATGTGCCTTACCATTTGAGCCAGGATCCCCAGTCTTTTTGTTGTAGTGATTTTTTTTAAATAGAGTCTTGCCTTTTGCCTAGGCTAGCCTGGATCATGCTCCTCCCCTATGCTTCTCCCATAGCTGAGGTGAAAGATGCTTACCCCTCTGAGCAGCTTTTTCTTGGTCCAAGTGGGGAGTCTCAAGAACTATTTTCCCAGGCTGACTTCAACTGAGATCCAAACCCTAACGTAGGATTACGGATGTGCTGTTCATTATAGATCTGGAGGCTTGAAAACAAAGATCAAAGGACCAGCAGATTCAGTATCTAGACGGGGTCTACTTCATAGGTGGCTGTCTTCTTGCTGTATCCTATGGGAAGAGACAATGTGATTCTGTGAGTTCTTTTCTATAAGGAAATTCACTGATTTCATTCATTAGCATTCATTACTTCACTGAGATGCAATCACCTCCTTCTCCAAGTACCATTCCACCATTTCATTCAGACCCTATGCTTACTTGATTGTCTGTGCGGGTCATCTCCTGTAATTAGGCTGAATTCCCAATGGGAACTTTGGAAACTTGGGAGTTTTGGGTCCTCCACGGTATTGCTTAGAAGGACTCAGAATTCACCAAGAGAACTGGTTTGGATCAGCCTGACTGATAATTTGAAAAATAAATTATAAATTTAAAATAATGGTAAACTTATAGGAGAGTAATGAAGCTAGTACACTCATTTTCGTATACCTTTCATCAAACTGCCCTCCATTACTCTATCTCCATAACCAGACCCTTTTATCCATACTGAGTTCACAGCACTTTATTAACAAAACTATAGACTCTGTTTTGATTTCCCCAGTATTTCTACTGATGACTTTTTCCTGTTTCTGGATCTGGTATAGGATACCACATTTACATTTAGCTGTCACCTCTTCTCCACCCTCCAATCTGTGGCAGTTTGTTGGTTATTCTTTGTCTTCCATGACCTTGACGAGTTGTGGTCAGGTGTTTTGGAGCATGTCCCTCAGTTTGGTTTTATCTGATGTTTTTTCATGATTAAATGGAGTTTATAGATCTGGAGGCAGAACACCATGTATGCATATTGTCCTTGTCATATGATACAACAGGCCATTGACATCACAATACAAATGTGATATTAACCTTGATCATCTGGCTAGGTTGTATTTATATACTCTTTTCTCCTTTCCATGTTCTATTTTATTTGTTTGCTTGCTTTAAGTCAACCCAGTCCAGCCCTTACTCAAGGAAAGACAGTATGTTGAGAGTATTGATTCCCCCTTTTACTCCCCCCCGTCCTGAAGGAAGAAATACCAAAGAATTTGTGAATGTACGTTGTTTAAATCACCAGCACCATCAATCTGTATTTGTGAGGAGCTATTTTGCCATGATGCAGATATCTGTTTCCATGGAGGTGATTCTTCAAATGATTCTGTTCAGTTTGAAGCCCAGAGAAACAGGCTGTCTCCTTCTTCCCAGCTCCTGTCACTAAGGTTAGTGAATTTATTAAGATGCTGAAGGAGGATCCTGCCTCTGTGGATATATGATGCCATCTTGGATTTCTGCTGGCGGCTGCATTTTAATCCTGGAGAACCTGGAGTCTGTGTCTCAGGGGAATGAGGTGTGGGAGTTCAGTGGGCCTGATGTCAGAGATAGCGGTGCTGGCTTTCTTTGCAGATGTGACTCACTTGCTTGCAAACCTAAGGTAACAACCTACAGGAAGTGTTAAGATCACGTCAATAGCAGACTGTATTTTTAGATGCCATTTTTTTTTCACCTTGAAGGCTATATTTGAAATCTCAATTGTGTGACTTAGGGGGGAAAATAGAATTTTAAGTAGCTCCAGCCATAACTGACCCTGTGGCTAGCTACTTCAGTTGTCTCTGTGTGTGATGTGGTTCTTGGTCAAGTGCTAGGATCCAAAGTTCTCAACTGCTTTGTGAATTATTTGTGGGAAACTAATAGATACCATGTTTTACTATTCAGACTGACTTTGTTATCAATCAGTGATTGCTTATTTTAGCAGAATGGCTTGACAGTGAATCTCCTACAAGGAAAGGAAAAAAATATGTAGTGGTTTTGTAAGTAAATATAAATCTGATACCTGTTTCTGATCATCTTTTCTAAATCATATATAAATAAAAGCAGGTAGCACACCCCAACCTGGTGGCAGCACATCTGACTAATTATTAATCATAGCTGACTGACCTTTAAGGCAAGTGGTTTACAGATGCTGCTGCTGAAGCAGGAGGTAAACTGTTGAAATTTTCTCTTCTAGGATGATTTCCTGTTCAGTGTCTCCATTTTAAGTGGGATCCTGTGCAGCATCTTGGCAGTTCTGAAGTTTATGCTCGGGAAGGTTTTGACCAGCAGAGCACTCATAACCGATGGTGAGTAAGGGCTGTGTGGGCCTGACCTTGGGGCTCAGTTTTTGGGCCACTTTTAGCTACTTTGTGTTGCAATAGAGCTGAACAATTTAGAATTCATCTATCCCAACCTGTTTAACGTGTTTTATGATCTCAGGGTACAGGGTACAGGTATTCTTGAGTTTAATAAACTCTTCTTGAAGCCCCTTTTTGGAAGTAGAGTGTTGGCTCAAGTGGTTAGAGAGCCAGCCTTCAGTAAAAGAGCCAAGCAAGAGGTCCTGAGCTTAAATCCCACTATACACAGACACACAGACAGACACACACAGACACACACAGACACACACAGACACACACACACACACACACACACGGCAAGCTCTTGAGGCTGCCCCTTTAACCCTCGACTCCCTAATGGAGGCTCAGGAGTCCCAGCTTCTTCATAATGAAGTACAAAGGGCTCCCTAGAATCTCAGATTTCATGCAGATTGTTCCAAATAAAAGGTAAGTGCCTTTTCTGGACTTTGCAAATGCTTCCTATAATTCTCCATGTTTCCTTTCCTGAACGCTTAGTGAGCAGTTCACATTGGAGTTCGATTACCAGGCTGAAGTTGCCAGGTGACTGCCTGCTCTGGGGGAGCCATCCCTGTGTTCTCTGCTCAAAACTCAAACCAAGCAGAAAAGTGCTTACATAGGCCTTTGGCCTGACCACATAAGGTGTGTGAATGCAGGGAAAGTACAAACTCCAAACTAGAGATCTGGCAAACAGTAGTCAGTGGTTTCGCCATTTTACTTTTATTCATTCCCGAGCATGTGCAGATTCTAAGAATAAAGTAGTGAGAAGTTAAGAGTAGAAGTTTGGAATGTATTGTATAAGATAAGCAGAAATGGTTGGCTGGATGATGATGATGATGATGATGATGATGATGATGATGATTTGTAGCTCAGGTTGGCCTCAAACACAAAATTCTTTCTGTCACAGCCTTCCAAATACAAGGATTACAGGTTAATATTATTTGTTTATTCATTTTATTTATTTATTTATTTATTTATTATGTTGGTTGTGGGGCTCTTGAACTCAGGGCCTGGGCATTACCTTTTTTTTCCACTCAAGGCTAACATACTATCACTTCCACAGCTCCACTTCTGGCTTTTAAATGGAGATGAGTCTCAGGAATTTTTCTTGCCTGGGATGGCTTTGAACTATGGTCCTTAGATCTCAGCCTCCTTAGTAGCAAGGATTACAGGTGTGAGCCACCAGTGCCCAGCACAGAACACATTTCCCCTCCTGAATCTCATTTTCATATGTGAGAAATCTGAAGGCAGAGGGGATGGGTGGCTGGTGGTTGTAGTTTGGACTGGAGAATTGCCATGCAGAGGCCCCTCTTATCCAAATAGTAGAGGTTGGTGAACATAGCACGGGCTGACTCCTCATCCTGCCCCACTCTGTTGCCTTGCTGTGTGAGGAGCTGGGCTGCTGTGGGACAAGGAGCCCAGGTGATGCATCCATGTGGGGACTGAGCCTAGGACTAAGTATCTGCTCCATCCGTGTTCCCACCATTGCCTTCGCTCCCTTACCCCTGCAGCATTGTTGCTCCAGAAGGCAAAAGGAGACCTGCCTGGGGAAAGCATCACCTGGGCCAGTGGATGCAGGTGGGGCTTCCTTTGAACAGGCCTGAAGGGTTCCATGATCTGACATCCTGAATGCAAAACCAGGGGTCCTAGTCTTTAGGCAGTGGCCACTCCTAGTCTGATGTCATCAACTATGGTTGGGGGGGGGTGTTAGTGGATCTGGGCCCCACCGTTGGAGATCTTGGTGTTCTAGACCTCATGGGGGGACCCAGGACTGGGCATTTCACAGCAGTGCCTCAGTCTGTGTGGTGTGCACCGAGGTTTGGTGCTGCTTCCATAGTCACTCAAAACGTCCACGTACAGTGTCACCCAAGGGCCAGTGGATCCTGCTGTGCCCAGCACTCTTGAGCACCGTTGGACAAACAGCTCTCAGAATTAGTTCTCAAGGGGCCACTTGTGGCTGGGCCTGCTGGTTCCATCCACCTTTGTCACACGCCACCTTTCAGCTTTGGCTAAGGAAGCCTTTGGCCCACTTGAAACCAAAGCTGCTTTAAAAAGCAGCAAGGACTGTTGACAGAGTGAAAGAACATTCTCCTCAGATGGAGCCTTCCTGTTCCCTTCTCTGCTTTTAAGCAGCATTAAGGCCCCTCCATGTAGAGCAGGCAGCCAGCCCCAGGCTCATTCCTGGCAAGCTCTTGACACAGCCTTCCTGACACACCCTGGGGGAGGTAGGGATCCTGTTTAGATCAGGTCTTGGGGTGAGTGGTGTTGGGGCTAAGCTTGAGAATAATAAATCAGCAGGGTTTGTGGAGTTCTTCCAGCAGAACCCTTTCCCTTTCAGTGTCTGCTCTGTTGGCTGAGAGGCAGTCTTCCCTGGTCTCCAAAGGGATTGCTGTTTAGGTAAATATTGTGGGATAGATGTATAATTCTTACCAGAGGTGAGCTGAAGAACCAGTGGTTCAGTCTCCTGATGAGGATAAGGAAAATTGAAGACCAGTTACAGCCTGGCTTAGCCTTCTGGCTCTCTTTTGACCACAAAGGCACCACAGAATTAGAGGTGTGTATCAAGCTGACACTAATAGAGTTCCACAGACCTGGGCTGGGTTCCCTTTCCTATCTGGGGCATACCTACAGTTTCAGTTGAGGTGTCTACCTCCTATGATTTTTGTGATCTGGTGTTTTGTAGCATGAAAAGAAAATGCCTACATGTTCCTTGAGTCCTTTATTAGGGATGACTTCATTAGGGGTGTAAACTTCAAGGATGAGCAGGCATGGGCAGATTGTTGGGTTTGGATTTTCCGTCACCATCAAGATCCCTTTCCATCTCTCTGAAGGACTCAGCTGGCCCAGGTATTGGGGCAGAACAGGACAATGACCTGGCTAAATCATGAGTTCCCCATGTCATGTTACTTAAAACATAAGGGGCAGGGCAGGTGTGGCTGGGTGAGCACTGGGCAAGCAGCTCTGCAGCCGGTTCTAGGACCCTGCTGGCTGGCAGAGGCTAGGTGTCCTTGTGTGCTTAGCTGGCTACAGGGAGGAAGGAATGCTTTCCAGAACCATGTGTGTGGGCCCAGAAGTCCAGCTAACCTCCAGACTCATCATGGCCATAGCCTCATCTCTTTGGAGCCTGTGCCAGTGGCTTTTCCTTCACATGATGACTATTCCACACTAATATATTCATTTAGCCTTCACTGAACTTCTAACCTCCTGCCAGATTCCCATCTTTCTATTATATAGGTGCGGGGAGGGGAGGGGAGAGAAATTTATGCTGTTTCTCTAATGAACTAACTTTTGGCTTTTCTATTCATTCATACAACTATCCACAAGTAAGCTATCTGTCACATTCTTGAAACAGAGGAGGGGCAATTACACAGGAGAGTGGGTAGTTGAAGTGAAAATCATCCTCTCCAGGCAGAGGGCGTTCTGCGGCCAGAGTGGAGCAGTGGGCTGGGACTGATCACACAAGGTTAGCTGTTCAGGCCCAGGAGTGTAGATGTTTTACCAAATATTTAAAGAGTCGTCTGAGTATCTGTGGTGGGAAACAGTGGAACGAGAGAAGACTGGAAGTAGGGAGAGGTCTCTTGAGAACTGGGGCAGTACAACGGGGCAGTCCACCCTGTGCCGGGAGAGGAGGGAAGGTGTTGGGAGGAGGACAGATGGCCACGGGGTTTGAAGTGAGAGGGAGATGGACTGAGCATTGTTTCATAGAGGCTGCAGGTCCTGCTTTTCAGTGTGTTACCCAGCAGGGGCCTCTTCTAGGAGTGGGCGTGTCTCAGGAAAACAGAAGACAGTAATTACAGCCTCCTGCTAATTGTATTGTCTGGGATCTGGGCTTTATTCATTCATTGGTTCCTGAGTAATATCTAATTGCCTCCTCTTTGTTCTTCCTTCCCTTTGGAAGGAAGGCTGATGGGGTGGGATTAGGGGAGCCCTACTTGTCATTAATGTTGGGGGTTCTCAATGGGGACAGCTGTGGAATGCACACCTTTTGACATTCCACAGACCCTCTAAGCCAGGCAGTTTCTACAAGGAGATAGGAAGCAAGTTAAGCAGCTGTTTCTCCTGCAGAAGGAAGGATGAGACTCCAGGATCATCTGGTGAGTGGCAGATCCTAAGGTGCAGCCCTGTGGGACCTGATTTGTTATAAGTGTGCCTTTGTAGCCAGGGACAACAGCAGGTAGAAGGTGGCAAGGGCCACCTTTAAGACTTGCTTTCATGCTGCCCAGTTGTGGTGCTTTGACATTGTTAACATGCATGTACTCTCAGGACTAGGATGAAATGCAAGCTTTGTGATACTCAAAGTAAAATAGCTTTGTGCTACAAAGAAATACTGCAAATCAAATGTAGGAAGAACGGGACAGGCACTGGGCCAGGGCCCAGCTTTAGTGCTCTGATGTCCAGAACCAGTCTGGATTCGAGGACCTCGCTCTGCTACAGTTCTGAAATACTCTGAGTTTTCAAACATCTAAACATATCAGATATTCCGCATAAAATGAATGCACTTAATTATGCACAGTAGGGTGGCATCTCCTACTTTGGATGATCATCAGAGCCTGGTATGCTGTGATTGGTTGATGGGGCTGGGATGGTGCCCTTAGTGGATGATCATCAGAGCCTGGTATGCTGTGATTGATTGGTTGATGGGGCTGGGATGGTGCCCTTGGCTGGGCCTCAGCCTCCTCCTGCCTGTGGGATGATTGGCCAGGAAGGCTATAAAGCTCTGAGGAAGGCAGCAGCTAAGACCTGACCCTAGTTCCCAGCTGCTCTAGCATTCTCATGCAGGCTTCTAAGAGGTGAAGCCAAATGAGTCAGGTTTTATCATCTGAGAAGGTGTAGGTGGAGGAGGTGAGCATGCCTCAAATCCTAGGGAGGAGCTGTGAATCATTCAGGGAACCTGCTCAGGGCTGACTTTGGTGCTGGCAGCCCAGGCCTTCTGTGGTGGAGCAGAGTGGACCTCTAGTGGCTGGCTGGGGGAAACCTCAGGCTCTCATATCTACCTACCACTGGAAATGTATCAGGGCTGCTGGTCCAGGCAAGACTTGCTGGACTTCAGGGCCACCACCCACACCTTTCCTTCCTCTCCATCTGGTAATTCAATAATTAATGTAGGGACCATCTGAGCCCATGATACATGTGAGGCCCTCTTCTGTGACATGAAATACAGCAAGGAAAGGGAACAAGTTCCTGTCTGTGAAAGAGATGATACAACAGAAACAGCAAAAGTAACCTGTTAGGTAGAGAGCCCACGGGCTTCATAGAGAAAAGCAGAGCCTCCTTGTGGCCTTCCGGTATACGGGGGCCATGAGTAGAGAGATGTTTGAGGAGTGCTAGGGGCCTGAGCTGTGGGCTAGGTGGTAGGCAGGAAGCCTGGGAAGACCCTGGAGGAAGAGGTAAGTTCAAGGGCCCCTGTGGGATAGCGTGCAGCTGTTGAGTGGCTGAAAGGTAGTAGGGGAGGGATGTGGTATAAGATACATGAAGGAAGAGTTTGCATAAACTCTGGTGGCTTTGGGCACTTGTCCAACACTCTGGCTGCTGGGGGGGGGTGGGGGTGGAATGTGGGTTTAAGGAGAAGTAGACAGAAATAGAAGGTGAAGAGGCTGGCTCAAGGGTCCAGGAGTGGTGGCGTGGATAGGTTGGGAAGTTGGGGTGGGGGGCCTCATAAGAGGTAACAGATCTTCAGAATTCCTTAGACTTTAAGTCCTAAGAAATCTAATAGCCTATCCTGGGCTCCTAGATTTTTGGTCTTGGCAACTGACCACATGGTAACCAGCACTGAGCTGGCTGCTGGAGGGTGAGATGTTGAGTTGTAGGAATTGATTTCTGTGTTGTGTACATTTTGAATGAATCTGAGGAGAAAAGTGGGGCCCAAAGATAGATGTTTGAGAGATTTTTCTCCTGGGGTGGGAGAATACAGATAATGCAGATATAGCCCAAAGGGCCAACCGAAAGCCACCTGGATGGGGATGTGCAGAAAAAGCCAACAAAGAACTGCTGGAAGAACTTTCCAGAAAGAGATCACCTCTATCAGGCAGTGTATCACAGATGACCTTGAGAGGGGCCTTGGGGAAGAAGCAGCCTGAGTGGAAGGGGTGGAAACACTAAAGACATCTCTCTGGCAGTTTTATGAGGAACAGTGGCAGCTGGGTCAAGGAGGGATGCGATGGGAGAGGGCAAGATGGGAGTATATCGCACTAGGAAGGATCTAGATATGTAAGGTTTGCCTTATACTAGGACAAAGAAGACTAGAGTAGCTGCTGTTACAGGTGAGTGGTGTTATTGGGGAGAGGAAGAATTCGTGTCCTCTGACAATCAACTGCAAATTGGAGGAGAGGAGAGGGGGAGGGGATGATGGTGTCCATCCCAGGGACACAGTCCTAGAGACATCCTTCCAGACCTCAGGATCATGTTCTCACTGAGGAATAGCCCCTAGTTGTCCTCTCCCCCTTGGTCCTCAGAGTTGGGCTGTACCCCACTTGCTTCCTCTTCGCCTGCATTCCACATAGAATAGCCCTGTCTTTTCGGGGGATTGAGCTCAATATTCCTGCTTGGAACAGAGCCAGGGTGTTGAGTTCAGCACAGGCAATGGCTCTGTTATACCCAGCACAGCAGTCCCAGGATTGATACCAGGCCTGGTGCTAAGTGGGGCTTGTCCCTGTGTGGACCTGGCACTACCCCCAGAGCCACTGTAATGTGGAAGCAGGTGGGAAGCCTGTGGCACAGGGAAGACTCACAAGCCATCCTAAGCCAGCCTTTAGACCTGTGAAAAAACTTAGGTAAAACAGAAATGTGAAGTGTAAGTTGTGGAGATCAGAGGAGGCCACACAAAGGGGAGATGGTGATCACTCTGTGTGTGTGTGTGTGTGTGTGTGCGCGTGCGTGCACGCGCATGTGCCAGTATTGGGGCCATCAGATAGTTATTGGAGATTTGTCTGCTCAGGCTGGCTTCAAACCTTGATTTTCAGATCTCAGCCTCTGAGTAGCTAGGGTTATAGGTGTGAGCTACCTGTGTCCAGTATTGCTGCTTCCTCCCCCTCCCTCACCTCTACCCCTATTTCTAGCTAGGTAGCTAATTCAGAGCTTTGTGTTGCTTTTATGGAGAGGGAGGGAAAAATGTTCTGACTTGAGCTTAGAGGAGACTCAAGAGGGAATGGAAACAGGCCCTCAAGCTAGATAACTGGTTTATTTACTTCCCTCTGCTTAGTTTTCTTATTGGTTAACATTGATGATAATTTGGCCAGCTCAGAGCATGGCCCAGTGACCACTGAACAGATTTGAGTCATTACCATGAACTGGGTGCTGTTTTGGGCTCTGGAATTCAACCAGAAACCAAACTCTTCCTACTCAAAGTTTTTGTTCTAATGGTATGCGTGAAGACCCACAGTGAACCCCACATGTGCTCTGTTATGGGGCTGTAAGTGCTTAGAAAACAGAGGGTGTAGAGATTGACAGCTCTACTTAGGGAAATCCTTGGTGGCTGTCACCCATGAGAGCATCCAGGCAACTTTCAGTGACATTTGAGTAGCAAAGATCACTGGGCATTGCCATGTAGCTTCTCTCTGCTTCTTCTGCAGGGTTTAACTCCCTTGTGGGCGGTGTGATGGGCTTCTCCATTCTTCTGAGCGCTGAAGTATTCAAGCACAATGCAGCAGTCTGGTACCTGGATGGCAGCATAGGTGTGCTGATCGGACTCACCATCTTTGCCTATGGGGTCAAGTAGGTTCCGATTTATTCTTTGCTACTCCATCTCCTTCTTCAGCCAAAAATGACAGGATCTTGGGAGTCACAGATTGTCCCCATGTGATTCCAGAGCTTTGTCCTGTCAGGTGTCTGATGGAAGCCCCTGGCTGCAGCCTTCCTTTTAGTGGATAAGGGACTTGAGGGCTTTGAGTCTTCTCTGTAATGGGGGTGTACATGATGCTCCAGGCTAGCATCCTTGAGTGTTTTTCTCACCTGTCAAGTTCTCTGCTTGCCACCTACTTCATGTAGGCAATGCTACCTTGAATTTGGGAGCCAGTAACACCACTGACCAGAGCTCAGGCCCTAGCTTTAGAGAACATTTTTTCTTTTTTGGAAAAATAACTAGACAGAAGGACCGTACTAAGGCACAACCAGTACTCTCATTGAAAAAGGGTTACAGTGGCGTGCTGGCTCTGGATGGAGTGTCCAGGCTGGAGTCAGCCTTTGAAAGAACCATTCCTGCAAGACACCAGCTGAGCTTTTCAATGTTAAGGTGCTTTCTGATTCCCAATAGGCAGTGGTGACCAGACTCAAAAACCACGGAGGGTTACAAGTGTGGGTAAGGATGCAGAGGGATGCTCATGCACACCTGGTGGGAATGCACGTGGTGCTGCTGCTTTGAAAAAGAACTTGGCAGTTCCTCCAAATATTGAGTTACCATTTGGCCCAGCAATAGTGCTCCTTGGCATGCACTACTCCAGAGAAACAGAACAAACACCATGACAAAACTTGCATAGGAATGTTCACAGCAGCATTGTCCATTAGCTGATGGATAAATGTGGTATGCCCAAGCAGTTGACTATTCGCAATGAAGAATGAAGGACTAATAAACACTACTATAGAGATGAACTTACTGTAACATGCCAAAGGAAAGAATCTAGATACAAAAGGCCCCCTAAATGCACACTTCACTTTATATAAAAAGTTCCCAGAACACATCTATAGAGACGAGAGAAATTGACTGCTAAAGCTTCCCCTGCTAAGGGGCGTAATTACTTTTTGGGATCAAAAATGGTTCTGGAATTAATAGGGACGATCACACATATTCCTGAGAGTACTAATGAACTGCCCACTTCTCAAGGGTGAATGTTATGGTATCTGAATTCTCTTAGGAAACAAGACATTTCCTCTGAGCTCCCTCCAGGGTCTGTGCTGAGTGGCCATGTCCATTTTCCCTTTGCAGACTCCTCATTGACATGGTGCCAAGGGTCCGGCAGACACGTCACTACGAGATGTTTGAGTGAAGGCGGCTGGAGGGGCGGGAGCAGGTGGCTCCTCCTGAAGACTGACAAGGTGACACCAGGTTTCCCTGTAGGCAGACGGTGCCAATATTTAACTGAACATCCCATTTCCTTTTTTGGAAGTTTTCTTTCATACATTTTTGTCGTTAAATGATGAGGTCTGCTCAGTGGGCAGATCTTTCCCGTACCCTCACTGTTGTCCCTGTCAAACACAGTAAGACCATGCCCAGAGCAGGGGTCATGCTTCCTCATCCTGGGTGGGAACTGACATCATCTATTGTCTGCAGTAGAACAGTCCTTGAGGGCAGGGTAAGAATCTCTGCTTGGTAGAAAGCCCTTCTGCGGTGCTCCTAGCCTGAAACAGTAACTGGCCAGGTCCACCTCTTAGTTTTTTTCTGGCAGTTTTTAGGGGAGAGCATGTCCTTCTGTACCTCCTTTTTTCCTCTCCGGAACCATCAGTATATCACTTCCTTATTTCTATCAATGTATTGCATTAGTTTCATACTGTTTTACTAATAATGCTAAAATCTAAACAGATGTGTCCAAAAGGAAACCATTCTATTTTTTAAAAAAAAGAGTATGTAGTGATATATGTATGAGCTTTGCATGGACGAGCTAAAGAAGCACACGGCCCTTCCTCATACATTCAGAACCTGCACATCCATGTAAAAACCACGATCCATTTTTTTGAGAGATGTGTTTATTTGTAATAAATAATGATATAATTATCCATATATGCATATATCTATATGCTGTGTTACGTGGTAATGGTATATTACAGTCTGTGAGATGGTTTACTCATCTGTAAGAAACAAGACGTTTTCTGTGTATGCAATGCTAAGTATCGATGTCATAGACATGTCTCCCACCCCACAACGTTCTGTACCTCTCACAGTACTGCCTGTCCGGGCAGCAGCAGCCGGTCAATAAACACCTTTACCTGTTTTGTATGGTACCTGTAACCAGGAGGGAATGTCTGAGAACTGTTCTTGTGCGACGGACCCATTGTGGGCAGGCTCTCCCTTGTGCCAGGTGAGAATGATAGCAGCGATCTTGGGCTCCATGGAAGCTCCACCACAGCTTTTTGCACATTCACTGGGTGGCACTGGGGACTGATCACCAGGGGCCATCTCCTGTAGTGCTGCTTCAGAAAGGTATAGGTTGAGTACCCTTGACCTAGCAACCACATATCCAAATTGTTCCAAAAGCCAACAGGGTGCCACAAATGGAAATGTTCACACCTGACCTTCTTGTGATGGATGGGTTGTAGTCACAAGAGGTGCATTAAAAATCTTAAAGACCTTGGTCAAATGTGCTCCTTTTAGTGTGGCTCTTCCAACAGATGCTCTGAGGGGCCTTCTATGAGATGTTAATACAATACACACACAGGACCAAATGTATGAGCAAGTCTGGGAAAATGCAGGATTTACCAGGTTTCTTTACTGCACGATTTCTCACTGAATTGAATATACATACAGGGAAGAGAATCTCAGGCACAGAAGACCTTGATGTTTCCTTGGGATATTTTTGAGGAATTGTTTCACTAAACCCTCAATGTCAGCTCCATGGCATCCATTTTGCAGATACTTCTCAGGAGCCAGAAAGGTCGGAGGGGCCATAGTCATGTGGGTTGAGCCCCTCATTGTGACCTGGGGGGTAATCTGCCTTATTTCTAGAGCATCTATTTAACCAAGTGCTCATGGCCCACTGGTCCCTTGCCTCAAGAACTGCTTATTTCTGAAGGGGAAAATGGGTTTTAAGTGCCTGGGCAGTAACAGCTATCAGTTCACTTTCTAGTTCTGCTCCTTTCAAGGTGCATGTAGGGAGGACAGAATGAATGGTCAGTAGTAAAACTCTACCTTCTCCTTCAACATGGCTTCTCCAGGTGCTTGTCAATGTGACACAGCAGCCCCGATGTCCTCTTCTCATCCAGCCCCGCCCTCCCCAAAAACCACTTCCACTGCTCACACAAGAAAAGTTTATTGAAAAATAAAGTTCTCCCTAGTTTTCTCTACGACAGTGGAAAACAAAGCCAGTGCTTCCTGTGTCAGTACAGTACATATGGACAGTGACACCTTATGTGCAGACTCCCAGCTACTGAACCCCGGAAGTACAACAGAAAACAGCTGGATCAGAATCTGAAGACATAGACACAGTTATTAGCTTAACACCACCAAGGCTGTGAACAGCAGAAGGGACATCACCATCTCCTTTGGCATCAATTGTTACTCTATTGTCTTATGAATACGTCGGCAGGACAGTGAGCAAAGTGCCACTCACCTTTGTACCTTCTCAGCTTTGGCAGGCTGTGCTGGGATCCCAATATACATTCTGACCTGAAGCACCAGTATGCTCTCTGCATGCCCACCACCCCTACTTCAGGGTAGGGTAAGGAACAAGGTGCCACAAAATCTGGGACAGAGGGAGGCTTTGAAGAAGGTAAATGTCAACTGTTACATCCATAAATGATGAAGATAAGAGTGATGATCAACTGAAGAGAAGCCAAAGGAATCTGAAAGAACACACTGAACTCTAGACAGTTCCCCTTGTTCTATGACCACAATCTACCCAGAGTTGTATGGACCAAGGTTGGGAGATAAACACTTTAAATCTATGAGGGAAATGAGAGGCTAAATCCAAAACACAATAAAACAGTAAACTGCTATTTCAATCACTTGGGAAAACTCCATTCAACTATTAGCTTCCCTGGGTAGCTCTTCTGCAAGAGGCCCAAATCCCTCCCCCAGGGCTTCAGTTGCTCCTTCTGGGGTGGGTCATCTCTAGTACTAGTACAAATTCAACTTTGATTTGATGGAAACATGAGGTACCCAGCCTGTTATAGGCCTCCCCGGCCGGCAGGGGGCATCAACGGGATTTCCTGGGGAATGTATTCCTTTAATTGATCATTTCATTTCCCTTAAAAAGAAGTCTCCATTATTGCATTACAGAGAAAGAGAATGAATATTAAGGGGTGAACTCTGTCTAAGAACTTTTCTAGCTCAAAAAGTTCCTCAAAGAAATCCCTGGAATGTTCCAGAAGATAGCCATCTATGGTCAAAGGTCGCTTTTACCTTTTCCAACTCCGGTCAATTCTTGCAGCCTTGTTTCAGTGGAGGCTGAAGTCTGGCATATTTTCAAATCATTCAGTGCATTCAGAAATATATTAAAATCTCAACTAGCAGGGTAGGGTAGAACTTGGACACTTGAAACAGTAATTCCTACAACATTCAATGAACTTGGAATAATATTTTCATTTAGGAATCACTTTTGAATCAACAGGGAATGAGCTCAGCTCTTTGTTTTGCAAATTTTATGAAATGCTAATAGTAACAATATTTAACATTTACTAGGGCTTACTATGTGCCAGGCACTGTGCTAAACACTGAATCCTCACAAAATCCTAAGTGCTAGGAAATCTAGGGTATTTTTTTTTTCCTGCATCCAAGACTATACATCTAATTTGGTCTTTTGCTATACATAAAGACTTGGCTCCCCACTTTTTGTTGAAGCCAAAACTGAAAGGAACTCACCCTCAGCTTTCTACAACTGCCAGCTTCCTGAATGAGTATGGACATTTCTGTCCACCCATCTAGTCATAGGAAGATGCTCTGCAGCCTTAGAGGGATGGGTGAGATTAGAAATAAAGCCAATAGAGAAATTAAGCTATTTTTAAATAAATAAAAACAATCCAGGCTTGAGATAGTAACACATACCACAGAGCCCGTCGTTAACAAAATAGACTTTTTCCTTTATAAATCAAGAATTTGAGGGGCATGGGAGAGGATGGCAGCAAGTATAATCATACATACAATCTAGGCTAACCACCTTGGTCTGGTCTAAAGATCACCCATCCACCACCTTTAAACAGTTTCATTCTCCTCTACCACCCAGATGGCATCCCAAGCAATGAGTTGTGTGGGACTCCACTTCCAAAGAGGAAGCTACTGATTTACCGTCATTCATTTCTACATTCATTCACTAAGGAACGGAAAGGGGTTACACATTTTCTCCCCTTTATCCTGTTAATCATTTGAAGTATTTCTGGGCTACTGTTAACTAAAGAGCTCAGTACCACTGTCACAAAGGGCTGGTCTTCTGCCTGAGCCACACCTCAGCAAGGATCAGACTCATGGGAAGCTCAAGCTTCCTAGCCCCTTGGCCATCCCAAGACAGACCCAAAGCCTGGCCATGTCCAGAGGAAGTCAGAGCTTTTCTTTCACCCTTCTAGGGGTGAATGTGATCACAGAGGCTGTAGCTTGGGGAGCATTTCTCATGCCCAGCCTGAATTTCTGCAGTCACCAAAAAGCCTGTCCTGTCTCCACATTGGAGCAGTCTGGTGTCATCCTTCAACAGCACCCATACTTCCAAAACTAACCCCCAAAGAAAATGAAAAGGCACATCAGGAAAATAAGAAATAGTTGCTAGTATTTCCAAACATGCAGCCCACAAGCAAACAATGAGCAACAACAAGAAAATGATCACAAGCAGTGACCAAAACCTAATCCAAGCAAAAATGCAAAAAGGGCCTCTATTTGCACATATACAAATCAACTTACACCCATGAAATGAAGTGTTTACTGGCATTCAGAAAAGGCTGTATTTTTCCTTTCAGGAGGGTTTGCTCTGGAAGATGCTAACCTTACAAAGAAAAGCTTTCTCTTCATAAATTAGATAAATGTTTTCCCTCATTTTTTTTAAAAGAGCTTAAGATCACAAAGGGGAAAATAATCTGAAAGACTAGGCAAGACATTATTATATAGCACAGGAAAACATGAATCCTGATTTCGGATTTCTCTCCCTGTGGAATTATCATCAACTTACATGAGTTTAGGTTTAAAGATCAACAATGGTTAAACTGCTCTAGGCTCCAGGCCAACACTATCAGAGGTACTCCTTTCTCTCTCTACACATAGAGCAGATAGACGCTTCATCCTCAGCTTTTCCTGGTGGGTCTCTAACCATACCTGGGAACCAAGTACATCAATTACCTATTGATAAGGCCCATGGCAAGTGGAGTGTGGTTTGTTTGCCCCCAAGAGAGGCAGCCCCAGCTCCCTCCAGTGGAACTGAGCTCCCTTCCAGCTCATACTGGAGCAGGGAAAGTAAGAGGAATTTTAAAATAGGAAAAAGTGCCCTTTTGCAATATCTGACCTAGAAGGTCTTAAGAGGAATGGAAGGAATGGTGGGGAGGCCTTGGGCTCCGGGACAGACAGCAAATGATTCCTGCATGGAAGATTCCTGAAGGGAAGAATAATGTGACTTTCCCATTTCCTTGCTTTCTGAATTCTTGTGGTTGTTTTGAACAGCTGCTCACTTAGCTAAGCTTCTTGGGAAATTCACTAGGGTTGGGGGTGCCCCCTACTGGTAGCATGTATAAACTGTCACCTTCAGCCTGTGAAGTTTCCAGAACAGCCCAGGAGAGGGCAGACCTAGTCTAGGAATTGTTGATCTGGGAACTCAGGCAAACTTCTTCACCCTGGAGGGGCAGCCAAGAGGCTGGGAACAAGTCCTTTCTCACAGGAAGTAGGCTACTTCTCTCCCCTCCTACTGTAGGAAACTGCCCTAGCAAAACAAAGAAAGGCTCACACACTCTCCCATCACCAATGATTGGATTTCCATTGGCTCCTGCAAAGGCCTCCCTCTCCATACTCTCCCTGAGGGGGTGGAGAACCCCAGCTGCCCCTCCTCATTCTCTAGAACTGGAAGTACCATTCAGACCCACGAAGATCTGAGGGCCTCAGCTGAAAAAGGCTGGTTGTACGGTTGCTATTAGTTAGGCCCCAGGGTAGAAATCAAGAAGCAGGCCCATCTAACTTAAAGGCTCTTCCTTTTCCTCACTTCCTGGCAGGGGCCCCAGCTGGCTCCCCTTCACCCTCCAGCAAGCAGGATGCTGGAAACCCCAAGGCTGCATGTGTGCAGTGAAGCCGTAAGCATTCCATCTGGCCAGCCCAGGACTGGGTGAAAGATGCTGAGAGCTCACAGCAAGAGGTAGAGAGGGCTTACCCTGGCGGCCATGGAAGTTTGGGGCACAAACATATACAAATGGGACCAAAGCAAGGCTTCAGCAGAAATGGATGTGGAAGGTGGGGCTGACCTGCTGTCCCTCACCAGAGTGATCATGTCTAAAGAACAAGCCACCACCAGACTCACACCTTGGGGAGTGGTCAGGACAACACCAAGTATTCACACTGGGCTGCTGGTGATCTCTGAGCAAATATCAGTGTCACCATGAGTCCCATTCACTAGACTTCAGAGATGCCAGACATCAAAGGGGGACATATACTCACCTGTTTGGAGCTCAGCTCTAGTTGTGCCACAAACCCTAAAGGATTATTATCATTCCTGTGCCAATTTCAGCCCTCTGGGGGCTAGAGAGCTGTCCTCCAAGTTCAAAGGTCCTCATTACAGAGCACTAAGTGAAGGAGGGTGAATTTGTCATAGACTAGCAAACAAAAACTCCACCGTCTTGCATTTTCTTTCCTAGAAACATTGTAAGAAGAAAATGGAGCCAAGGTGTGAGGGTGCCTAGGGAAGGGACAAATAGGAAAGGAGTCCATCTTGACTTCCAAACAGCCCTGGCTGGGGTCTCTGGACCCCTCACCTCCAACCACAGAGTTCCTGGTCCTCTAGCTGCCACCTGCCAAACACACACAGGATCCACAAACTCTTATGAAAATGTCCTAGTTTGGCTGTGCTTCTAAAGCAAGATTTCCTTTGCTTTGCTCCCACCTGCTTCTAGAAGCTAGGTCCTGGCAGCTGGCCTTGAGCTGGGCCTTAGTACCACACACAGCCCTATCCCAAGCAGACAGAGTAATAGTATAGTGAAGGTGGATGATTATCAGTGGGAAATAGAAGAGACTGAGATCAATCCCTTTCGTCCCTCCCTTATAGCCCTCCCATCCCCCCTCCCTCCCAAATAAATAAGTTAATGGGTTTAGGAATGTTTCCATTCAAAGTTCTTTCCAATGAGCTCAATTCCTCCTCTTGTTTTGTTTGCAACTTAAATGCATCTTGAGACTACTTTTTTTCTTTTAAACCCTGGAGCAGTTGCAGGGACAATCTCCCTACAGTGGCTCCTCACAAAATAGAAACTATATCCTGGCCTGGCCTGCTCTCCTTTTGTTCTGGTGAAAACTGGGATGCGCTGGCCACAGTGGGAGCAGTACCCAAGCCTAACCAAGGATCAATTTTTTTTTTCCGGCTCTGGCCAGAGTCCTTCAATAACTTCTGACCCTGGCCCTGGCCAACTGGACCACCATCTTTGTCTTTGCTTTCAGAACGCGTGTGGCGCCCAGGAAGCAGCTGCTATAGGCAGTCTTTACAGAGGGCCACCTGGCCCTTGATGAAGTCCCGGCAGGGGCAGATCCTCTGGTGCCTGGGGTGGGCGCCTGCACAGCTGAAGAGCAAGAGGTCCGATTGGAACACACAGTGTTTCTTCTTAGGGTCAAAGGAAGGTACCAGGATGTCCTTGGCTAGCTCTGAGCTTTGGCAGATGACCTCATACCTGGGGTAGAAAAGAAAGTCACAGGGGTTAGAGATGCAGGGGATAGAACCTGTCCTGGCCATGTGCCCACCTGAGATATGGGGTGTACGTTCACTTTTCCTGTTTCCAATAGGAGATGGAATACACCCTCTGACCCCACAGTCCTCCATCCTGTGAATCTCAGCTGTGAAAGGCATGCACATATCCACATGGGGGTGGAAGGGTGTGTCTTTGGGGCTGGGCTAGATAGAGAAGAACTGTCTATCAGAAAAACAAACCGGACGGACTGGGAAGTTGGCTCAGTGGTAGAGCACTTGCCTTGCATGCATGAGGCCCTGGGTTTGATTCCTCAGCACCACATAAGCAAAAAGAAAAAAGCTGGAAGAAAAACAAGCTGGAAATAATTTGCATATTCACCAAGTGGAAAATGGCCAAACAAACCACAGGCCTTCTGTACTCTTGCAGTCATTGGAAAAGAATGAAGGAGAAATATCCCAGTGTGTGAACTGTGACTACTTGGCATGTTACAGAGTAACCAAGCAATTGAGTGTTAAAAGCCAAGGTGGCTGGGGCTGGAGGCATGGCTCAGTTGGTAGAGCACCAGCCAATGAGTGAAAGTATCAAGTAACAAGTATGAGTCCTGGACTCTAACAAAAAAAAAAGAGAGAGAAAAAGAAAAAGAAAAAAGAAAAGGAAAAAGCCAAGGTGGCTACTCGCTAAAGCATTAGTAATGGGTGCTTCTGAGGAGTAAGGATGGAGCAAAGCTCTTCCTTTTTAACTAAATGCTTAAAAAGAACTGGGTGCAGGTAGCTCCTATCTGTAATCCTTGCTACTCACAAGGCTGATATCTGAAGATTGTGGTTTGAAGCCAGGCCAGGCACAAAAGTCTGTGAGACTCTAGTCTCTAACTAGCAAAAAGCCAGAAATAGAAGTGCCTCAAGTGGTAGAGCACTAGACTTGAGCAAAAAAAGCCCATGGAGAGCATAAGACCCTATGTTCAAGTCCCTGTACTGGTGTGGATACACCCATAAAAAGCTTGAAAAGGCTTTACTCTCCCCTAGAAAGCAATCTGGTGTACTCTCATTGACCTGGCTTCTTGGGACTTTGCTCTGTTCTCATGGCCTCTTGTAACCCTAGTTGGAGGTCAGAGAGCTGAGGCCACAGGACCACAAAGAGGTTCATAGGCCCTGCTCCTGTGCCCCATGGTGGATGGTCTGTGGGCTACAAAGAGCTTTGCTTCTTCAGTCTGGGGGCCATTGCTTGGGGGACTAATGACACTTAGATATTGTGTTCCCAAGGAGCCAATATAGGCTGCTTATCTCAGAGGACTGAACCCCTTTCCTTCTCACCTGGGACACATTGGTTCCCCCACCAACCTCCTCTCTCCCTCCTCCAACAAAGGGGCTTCACCCAGTGTCCCGCATGAGAACCCCATGCAGAGTGCTACACTTGAGTTTGGGGAACAAGGTGTTCTGGGCCAGGCAAGACCTGAGTTTGAATCCTGGCTTTGTCTTTGATGAGACAAAGTGACAGTTTTTCTGTGGTTCAGTGTTTTCTTCTCTTAAGATGAGGATCATTAAACCTCAATTGCAGGAATTAAGGTAGTGCTTCTACAGTACTTGGCAGAGTCTACCTTTGAGTTAGTGATCCACTGACATTCATGCTTGGGATGACTATGGTCACTGCCAAGGTCATCATTGCCTGGCAGGCACTGGATGGGCTATGACACTTCCCTAACAGACATCACAGCACTGCCCATTCTGCTTTGATGATGGAAATCTCCCCTCTTTGCTGAGGGAGAGGAGATGAGGATAGGGGATTTGCGATTTCCAGCTGTCTCTGGAAAGCTTCCAGATGAGGTGTGTGTGTTGGGGTGGGGGTAGGGTAAGGAAGTACCTTTTTTCCCTCTCATTCCTGCCAGCCACCTGGGCCCTGCCCATAGGAAATCCTGCAATTCCCAGCACATCTGCTGGCTTCTGCACATGTCTCTCTGGCCCCTTAGGAGTAGGGCATCTCAGAGGGCAGGTCTCTTCACTCCTGCAGACACTGGCTAGGCAGGGAGCTCTTCCACAGTCCTAACCACCTTCCCACCCATGCTCTTGGTGCCAGCTGGAAAGTGGTGATGCCTAGGGGTTAAGGTCATGGATCAAGAAGGAAGACAGTGATAGGGAGGTTCATGGGAGCTTTCTAAGGTGTGGGGCTGTCGATGCCTTCACATGGTACCCCACTTCACTAGTAAAGAGGAAAGGGATACTCTCAAGAGTGCTGGTGGCTCACACCTATAACCCTGGCTACTAGGAAGCTTAGAGCTGAGGATCACAGTTTGAAGCTGGCCTGGGCAGGAAAACTCCACAAGACTCATATCAACAATTAACCACCAACAAAGTCAGAAGTGGAGCTGTGGCTGAGTTTTTTTTGTCTTGTGTAGCCAGGTCCTGAGTTTAAGACCCAGAACAGGCATGTGCACATGCCACACACATGAAAGAAAGAAAGAAAGAAAGGAAGAAAGGAAGAAAGAAAAGGAAGGAAGGAAGGAAGGAAGGGAGGGACGGAAAGAAAGCAAGGAAGAAAGAGAAAGAAAGCAAGCAAGGAAGAAGGAGAAAGGGAGGGAGGAAGGGAGGAAGGAAGGAAGGAAGGAAGGAAGGAAGGAAGGAAGGAAGAAAGGAGAGAGAAAAGAAAAACAAAGGGTATCTGCAACTCCACTCATAATAAAGTAAGTTGCACATGGATGGTATTTATTTTTGTAGGTGGAATACAGCAGATGTGAAGGCTTAAATCAGACCATCTGCCTAGCACACTGCTGGCTGCGAGCATGGAGATCTCTCCCACTGGTAGACCCTCTGTGGATGGGTGCAATTGCTAGGAGCCATGGAAGGCCCTCCTATCCTCTCCCCAGGTCACCAAGACTCAGGTTCTAGGGAGTCTGCCAGCTACGAGCACACCTGTGCTCACATCTGTGAGTGTATAGCCAACAGGGCTAAAACCTGCCTGTCAGGATGAGGTAGAAAATGCACAAAGTGCTCCAGCAGCAGACCGTTCCCAGGACCACAGTGGGGACCAGCCATAAGGCAGTTTCCCAACAGTGCAGCGTGTGATGCCATGGGCATGTAGCGGTCTAGCCATTTTGTAATTGTGATCCTCCTACCTGTGATTCTGTCTGTGGCTGGGATGGCAGGCGCGTACCACTGCACCCAGCCATTGTACTTCCCCATAGCTTGGGATGACTGGCATGTACACCATACCCATGTACTGACAAAGATAGAGTCTTGTGAACTCCCCCACTTCATCCCCTCCTCCTCTGGCTGGCTTTGAACCATGATCCCCTGAACTCCACTTCCCAAGTAGCTAGGAATGTAGCTTTGGGCCACTGCATCAGGCTGGCTCTGGAGCTCACATTGGACTGTGCTTGTCTGGCCCTTTTATACACGCACACGTGTACCCATGCATGTGCGTGCATGCACACACACACACATCTGCAAAGTGCCATCTCCCCTCTCTTTTCCCACAAGATGCCTTCTCTCCAGTTCTCAGCATTCTCACGGGTCCAGAGCAGCTGCTCTGTGGGGCCCATCAGCTCTCAGTTCATAGTTCATGGGATAGGCTGAGAAGCTCAGTCCTAGAGGAACAGACAGATGCTCCTGACTCTCCCTGATGCAGGGTGTTGGAATCATAGCCCCTTCAGATGCCTGGCAGAAGAAGGGCATTTCCAGCTGCTGCTCTTGTTCACCTTCCTAGTCCCTGTCCTGGTGTACCTTCCTTTCTGCAAAGATCCATCCCCACCCGCAGCCCTGGGTGGCTGCCCAGGCTTAGGGTCCTCCCAGGTGCCCAAGTACTTGGTCTACATTTCACTACTTAGAATCTCCTCAAGCAAAAGCATCAGTGCTCACACAGATGTTTCTCCCCTTCCATAAGGTCATGTCTGCGTAAACGCACCCCAAGTTGAAAATATCATAAATGGAAAACACGTTAAATATATCTAATCAGCTGGGTATGGTGGCTCACATCTGTAACCCTGCTAAGATCAGGAGATCAGGGTTTATGCTTAGATAAGACAAAAAAGTTCACAAGAGCCTATTAAGACAAAAAGCTGGGTGCATGCCTGTCAGCCCAGCCATGCAGGAGATTGACAACAGGAGGACCACAGTTCAGGCCAGCCCAAGCAAAGAAGCTCATGAGAACCCACATCAACAGAAAAACCTGTGATAGAGCTGTGCGTAGATCCTAATGCAGTGGGAAGAATAGGAGGATCATGATCTAGACTGACCCAGGTCTCAAAAATAACCAGAGGGACTAGGTGCTGGTGGCTCATGCCTGTAATCCTAGAGACTCTTACCTCCATTTAACCAGCAAAAAGCCAGAAGGGGAGCTGTGGCTGAAATGGTAAAGCTCCAGCCTTGAGCAAAAAAAGTTCAGGGAACAGTGCTCAGGACCTGAATTTAAGCCCTAGTAGCATAAGGCAGACATACAAAAATAATCAGAGATGTGACTCAAGAGGTAGAGCACTTGCCTAGCAAGCATGAATCCAAGAGATTAAACCTCAGTACTGCCAACAAACTAACAAAACTCTAAAACACTTAATCTAGTGATTGTCACAGCTCAGCAACACAGTATGCTATAGTGTCAGTTGTGCCTAATGACTGTGTGGCTACCTGGGAGCAATTGCTGCTGCCAGGGCCTGGCATCATGACGCAGAATCAAACCACTTACCCTTAATCTAGAGAAATCCAAAATTTGAAGTAAAGCAGATAAAAAGGTCCTGAGTTGAAGCTTCACACTGGTGGCTTATGGCTACTAGCTACTCAGGAGGCTGAAATCTGAGGATTGTGGTTTAAAGCCAGCCCAGATAGGAAAGTCTGTGAGATTCTTAACTCCAAAAATCTACTTATAGAAAGCCAGGAGTGGTGCTGCAGCTCAAGTGGTAGAGCTCTAGCCTTTAGCAAAAGAAGCTCAAAGACAGTGCCCAGGCCGAGTTCAAGCCCCAGGAATGGAGAAATAAAAAACAAAAAATCTGTGTTGTACCAGGGTAAGCTGAGGGACCACTTGTAATTTGAAACCTTGGAACACACAGCTGACTTTCCAAGGGCACCCTGGACTGGATGGACTCTGCCACTTCCTGGTCCCATCTACCTTGTATGAAATCATACCCAGAGGACAACTCAGACCTCAAGGGTGAGTGTTCTGTACCAGTCTTCTTAGCACTCAGTTGCCCCTGGCAGGAACAGAAGCTCAAAGACCACCTGCCTGCTTGTTACTGACTCAAGATGGCAACACAAAGTTGGGTGCCAGTGGCTCATGCCTGTAATCCTACCTACTTAGGAGGCTGAGATCTGAGGATCTTGGTTCAGAGCCATCCCGGGCAGGAAACTCCGTGAAACTCTTATCTCCAATAAATCACCAGGAAACCAGAAGCGGCGCTGTGGCTCAAGTGGTAGAGCACTAGCCTTGAACTGAAGAGCTGAGGGACAACGCCCAGGCCCAGAGTTCAAGCCCCATGACCAACCAACCAACAAACAAAAAACAAAAACTCCTACCACATAACTAGGATAGGAGGTTATTAAAGGTTGTGGACACCAGGAGTCTGAAAGGAGCTTAAGCTCAGCTGAGAACAGAGCTCCAAGTTGGAGAAGATAAAGCAGCCTGGGTGTGCTGGAGCTGCTAATTGCTAATTGGCCATGAATATGGATGGACCAGGATTACCTCCACGCTGAGGGGACACTCAATAGACTGCCAGATAGCTGGGCTTTTACAACATTATCAGTATTTACAAATGCATGAACAAGTTATTCAGTAGAGCTCTTATGCTCACAGAATTAATTTCAGATGGCTTTATTGCAAAATTACCATTTGCTCCAGCTTCCTGCTAAGAAGCCCGAATCTCTACGGTGGATGTGATGGAGGAGGGGAGGGAGCGATCGCAAGGCTCAGGGACTGGCTGCACCAATCTAGTCTCAGACTGCCAGCATTCAGTTGAGTCTACTGCCCAAAGCTCTGACCCAAAGGGGCCATTGTATTGGTTCAGCAAGGGCTGATTACCATCTCATCAGCACTCAGGAAGTCCCCATTCTGCAGATGAGAAAACTGGTTCCAAAGAGGGAACTGACCACCTGCCCAGTTGTTGATCACCCCTCCTGTTCCTGTTGACTCTTGCTTTGGAGGTAGGTCTTGTGTGTAGGTAGAGCCACCCAGGTGGGTCTCATTCTAGCTCTGAACCAAACTCCAATCACAGTACTGACGTCAGGGTCCAGGCTGGGAAGAAAGCCACGCTGTTCAGGAGTCCTTGTGTAGGACTCATTTGCAGAGGCAGTAGCTCATGGCTCCTCTTCCAGAGGTGGCTGCACACTGAACTGTAAGTACAGTGCAAAAATCTGGACCTGGTGATTCAATAGTGTTTCTAATATAAACAGAGTGCTTGGGTTCCTTAAAAAAAAATCTCTTTGCTCTGGGAGCTATTTGCAAAAGAAGCCCGTGGGAAGCCCTGTATGGAACTGGATCTATGTTATGGAACTAGGAGCTTCTGGTGTTGCCATCTGCTTTCTACCCAAGTCAGGCTCCCACTCTCTCCCAAAGCTTCCCTGGGTGCACAACAGGAGCTCTCCCCCCGCCCCCCCCCAGCCCTACTCCTCTAGCCCCACCCTGGCCTCCAACTCCCAGACTGTGCTTTTGTGTTGGTTCAGCATCAATCAGAAAAACAAGCATGGGAGAAAACAGCATTGTCCACTGCCCTACTGAAAAGAGCTTTCTTGTGAGCTATGCCAGAGACCACAGGCTCTAAAAGGGGTTTTACGCCATGCTTTGGACACTGTGACTCACAGCTCAGACCACCATGCACAGTAACCACAGTGGCCAGGCACAAAGCCTGAATGGGGGACCGGCAAGCCCTGAGTCCCAGGTCCACTCCACTCTGTATAGCTGGTCTTGCAGCACGGGGCAGAACAACTGTTGGGTTACTTGGAAGTGAGAGAGTGTTGTTTTATTATTTGAAGGCAACTGTCTTGGAGAAAATCCTTTACTGGTGCTATTCAGGAGGTGTGGGAGGCTAGAAAAGTAGGAAGTATGGGAACCACAGTGGGGTGCGATAAAACCTGGGAGAGGGAAGTTAGCATGGGCAGGGATCATGAGTCAGAAGCCAGAAGAAACTTCATGTGGAAATTTGGGAATGGCTGATATCAAACTCCATTTGGAAAGTAAGTACTGCAAGGATGGGGTAAAGAGGTCAACAGCACTGGAACCCCTCAATGGTGTGGCCCTGGACATGCCGGTCAGTGTCATAGCTATCTTGCTACTGAGGACCAAGCCCAGCTAGGATGTACCTCTCAACCCAAGGGTAAAAGGAGGTGGGGTTGTGAAGGGGGAATGGGCCCGGAACATTATTGATAGTTTTGTGGCAGCTCTACTTCTCTTTGACTCCGTGGCTGAACACCTGTCCAGACTATCTGAGGACCCGGCTGCTGTCAGGATCTCAGACATAGGTCTATCAGTGCGTGTGAGTCTCTGTCTATCTCTATTTCTTGGTTCTTGAGTACAAACCTTCCACAAACTCCAAGCTCAGATGTGGCATTCTTTATGCAAATTACAACACCCTCCATTCAAATTCTATGTATATTAGCACGCCAGGTGACTTCATGTCACTGAACAATGAAGATGCTAGGGTACCATTCTATAACCTCCCCTCTCTCCCTCACAACTTTCACTTCCAGCCCACATCCTGGAATTGAGAGTCCCTGAACACAGAATATCCACAGGGGTAGAGCTGCCCCCCATCTCCCTCCCCCACCCTGGTGCACTTACTTCAGCATGTCCTTGTCCTTGTTGAGGTGCTGGAAGAAAGATGGCTCACAGATGAGCTGGTTCTCCTGGCACACCTGCTTGCAGGACTGTCGGGGCTCTGCCAGCTTCACCTGCAGGGCACTGAGGGGCGGCCACATCACTTGCCCATGGCAGAAGTCCTACGATGAGAATGACACCATCAGCCAAGGATGCATTTGGGGATCCTGCCAAGTGATCCTGACCTTGGCAGGTGCCATACTGAGAAAGAGACATGAAGGGAGGTTTGAGAGCCAGACGGATTGGGGCTGGAGACACTCACAGGCCAAGTCTTAACGTCTCTAACCACTAGCTTCCTTAGCCATGGAAAGGGGGACCACAGCAGGGTCTCGCTACGGTCTCCAGGATAAGAGCCACTACCTAGAATGGGCTCAGGACCACACCTGTGTCTAAGGTGGTGATTCAGTATCTAATCACCATCCCTCCAGGAGGCCGTCCACCACCTCTCAGATTTGAAAGACATGATGTGTCTACCAATTGGGTAGCAACCTTGTATGATAGCACAAGCTAGTTTTATCTCAACAGCTAGCTTCTGCCGCTGTGTGGCAAAGGATCAAAGTGTGACATCTATCGACATCTCTGTTATTCCCTGACAAAGTACTGTGCCCTTGGTAGGGACGCTGTGCTTGGTGATTGAAAAGAGTCATCCCCATGCTGCTCCAACTCAGTGAGTAGGGATGACACGAAGGAAACGGGGCATTGTACAAGCAAGAGTAGAGCAGACAGAGCCCTTCAGTCCCAGACTCGAGGGAGCAAAGACGCAAAGGGTAGTTATGGGAGACCCTGGAATAGACAGGGGGTTGGAGGCCAGGCAGCAGCAGCACAGCATGGTGAATCAGAAGCCAGGGAAGGCTGGAGCAGGCCGCTCACTTTGGCCTGGGATCCTAGATCTCCTTTCAGCTGAGCCCATGACGCCCCCAGAGCTTGCTCTGCTTACTCCTGGCCAATAAAACCAGGCAGAATGCCTCTGAATCTGGCGCCTGCCCCGCCTGCCCAGATGCTTGCCTATGCTGGAAGGTGTTTGGGGAAGGCGAGTCCGCAGAAGCACCGGAGTGTGGTCATGATTGTGCTTGCATGGGGTTCTTTCAGGGAATTATCCCATAGATGTGGGGACCAGGGCACAAGAGGCCTATCCAGACACCCGTTTAAAGACAAATACTGCCTAAAAAGGAGGCAGGTTTCTTTGCCCTGACATGCAACTGTCCCCATGACACACTGATCAGTGAAAGAGTGGGGGGTGGAGGGTGGCCCCTGGCATTTGCACTGAGACACAGAAATGTGCCTGAACTGCTCTGTTCTAGGAACAGGTATCTCTTATAGGCAGGAAGTTGGGTGACACGGAAGATTGAGGTCAGGAGCAGTCAGGAAATTTACTTTGCAATGTATGTCCCTCTAGGATATTTATTTTTCCTCTGCTCCACCTTTTCCTACGTGGATGAGGAAATTAGTCATCTCTGGGCCCAGAGTTCCCAGTACCTGGACCTACAGAGGAAATGTCCTGAACCCCACCCTGCTTGTCCCATGGAGTATCTAAGGAGGGGCCTCACTGCCCCTAGCAAGCTGCATCTGGCAGGGCCTCTGGAATAGCTGGCTTAGCTTTTTTATTCTAACTTCATTGCTTATTTAATTGGCAGGACTGGGGTTCAAATCCAGGACCTCATGCCTGCAAGGTAGGTGCGCTACCATGCCCATAGCCTTATTTTGTGTTAGTTGTTTTTCAGATTAGGGTCTAGTTCTTGCCGAGGGCTGGCTTTGGACTATACTCCTAGGTTTCCCGTGTAGTTGGGATGATAGGTACGTGCTACGACACACACAGCTTATTGGTTGTGATGGGGCCCTGCTAACTTTTGCCCAGGCTGTCCTACAGATGCAATCCTCTAGATCGCTGCCTCAAGAATAGCTTGCAATTCAAATGTGAGCCATCACATCCAGCTGTTTGCTTCAGTTTTTTTTTTTTTTTTGGTTGGTTGTGGGGCTTGAACTCTGGGCCTGGGCGCTGTCCCTCAGCTCTGCAGCTCAAGGCTAGTGTTCTACCACTTGAGCCACAGTGCCACTTTCAGCTTTTTTCTGCTTATGTGGTGCTGAGGAATTAAACCCAGGGCCTCATGCATGCAAGGCAAGTGCTCTACCACTGAGCCACCTTCCCAGCCCCTTGCATTAGTTTTGATGAGCTAAAAGACAGCAAAAAACAAAAGAAAAAAGATTCTGCAGGCAGCTGGCTCTCAGTTTTTCCTGCCTCTTCCTTCTACTAGCTGTTGGAAACCTTTGGGCAAACTCTGCAACATCTGAGGCCTCATTTTCCTAATCAGAAAAAAAAAGATGTTTCATTCCCTTCCTGACAAAAGCCATTGGCAAGCACTTGGCGTTAGTTTCTCTTTGTGTCTCTGCAAAGCAATGATCAGGAGTGGAACATGTCAGTCAAGCCACTGCCATCCTCAATATCATAGTCACTACTCTTGGAGTCTAAGTGAGAGATGATAAGCAACAGAAATGGTACACTCAGCTGTGGACTGGAGATCTGCAGCTGGGCTCCTATCTGCTTTAAACATAAGATTCCAGAGGGCCAAAGACTTCAGAGTGATAGAAATAGTTATTGTGGGGTGCCAAATTAATCTGAATATGAAGGTTGGTGGGTGGAGCAGCCTGAGAAATACAGGCAGCCCTGGGCTAGAGAACCCACCCCCCCAAGTCTGTAAATTCATGACTGAGCACCAGACACATCTGCCCTGTGGTTCTGCATGCTGTTACTAAGAGCAATGGCATGACTGCATGGACCCAGGATACCCTGATGGGGAAGAGTGTGAGATAGTGGCTGCTGCTCTCTGCCATGTAGAGACCCTGCATTCTGATACACTGCCCATCTATCTGCCTGAAAGGCCATTAGCAGACAGAAGGAACTGATGATCAGAGCTGAGATGATGGGCATTTGGAAAAGGTGAAGTATCATACATGCTTGTTTTTCTGGCTAACGGAAACATCTTTACTTAAAACTCCTCAGGAGCAAATGGATAATGTCTAGAGCCTTTAAATATTATACTGAAGACAGGTTAAATCATTCACACATCAAAGCCTACTGTGTGACTTCACAGGACAAGCAAATGACCAGGAGACCATGACAAGATCACATTTGCATCAGAGAAAGCCAGGTGATTCTTCTTGACACCAGGAAGGAAAACTTATATTTACCTCAGTTTAACTTTCTAAATTTAACATCCGGTGAAAAAAGACATTTTTGAAGATGTCATGTATGTCATGCTCTATTTGCTTTGAAACATGACTGGTTAACTATTTTCTAGAATAGGGGCTAGCCAGAAATAGCTCATAGACCAAATGCTGCTCACTTGTCTGTTGCAAATAAAGTTTTATTGGAGCACTGTTTGAAAAAGAAGGGAGAATTTTTCTGTCTCCTGAATTTAGCTTACCTCAACCCTAATAGCCCATGTGATACAGTCCTGGGCTTTACTGTGGCACAGTTGGGAAGTGGCAGCCTTTAGAGGGTAGGTAGGAGATAGTGAAAGGTCTTCCAGTTCTAGTAATGACAAACTGACTAGTATCCCTGGATTAAGCCAGAAACCCACAGAGGCTGGTTTTTTTTTTTTTTTTATCAGCAATGAGAGAACTGGCATTGTCTCTCCCTACTTGTCTCCTCAGTCATAGTTCAGGGCATAGTCTCTGTACCTGTTGAGGTTTAGAACAGTGCTTGCTTTGTCCATTATTGAGCTCAGCCTCATAAAAGGCTAAACTCGAAGTTACAGAAAAGAAATCTGAAGCCCGGTCCCTCTATCACCATGTTTGGGGGGGAGGTACATTACAAGATCTGGTCACAAGCTCACCTACCAAGGGTGATTCTGACTGAATGAAAGAATTGTTGAGTAGAACACTGGCAAATAAAACATGTTCCACAAGCACTCACTTTCTTAATTGAATACACATCCTCAGAGAGGCTCCTTTGCCTTAGACAGCATTCAGAGACACTGCACAGGTGGCACCGGCGTACGTTGAGCAGCTCTGGGTGAGCAGACATCCAGTACCATGTCATAAGCATGGCAAGATGTGCTGTGAGGAGGGAAGAATGGGAGAAGCCCAGGCACCAAGGAGGGCAGGTGCATGCCACCAGTTCTTAGTCGAGAAGGGATATTGTGAATGTTTCTGTCTGGACTGGTCTTTCCACTGTGATCCTCCTCATCTCAACATTCCAAGCATGAAGCCACTGGTGCTGGCTGGTTTGTTAAACCACAAAAGTCAACTTTCCCAGAAGTGAGGCTTTGCCTAATTCAGCTCACCAGGAGGAGATGGCCAGCTATCCTCCCGGAGTTTTGTGGGTACCAAGAGAGTCAGGCATAGTAAAAATAGCCCTCTTAATGCTTAGGGAACCAACACTGTAAAGCCTGAAATGGTATAGCTGAACAGAGGGAGACTAAGGTGGCATTAGAAAGCAGGTTAAGGAGTAAGGTGGGAGAGGTCTGGGCTGTGAATCTGGGCTCCAGCTGGGAATTTCACAGATGCCACCCAAGCATCCCCTGCCTGTCCTCAGCCATGAAATGGGGGGCAAGATCATCTGATCTTCATTCCCTGTGCAATTTCTGTGTGAATAAAGTGAGGTGACCAGACGAAGGGATGTTGGAGATCATGTCAGGGCTGACCATGGCTTGTTGCCAAGGTCAGGAGGCAAAAAATTGAGTTGCTAGATTGTATCTGACCACTCATCCATGACAGCTGCCTCTGGGCCCAGCCGCACACAGGGCACGATCCAAACAGAAGCCTTGGTCATAAGCCTCCTCTCATCCACAGGTTCAGCCACTGCTGGGTGTGCAGGAGGCTGCAAGTCTTCCATTTTTCTATCCTGTTGGCACAGGCTAACAAAGCAATGCTGAGTTGCCACATCGCTCCAAACACTCATTTGCTCATTAATGCATTCAACATGAACTTGTTAAGAGGCAGAAAAGTACGAGCTCATTTACAACTTTACAAATGGCCCCTGAAGCCTTGTGCCCTGTGTCAGAATTATGAACATGAAGGAGACACAGTCCCTGAACTTAAGAGATTCATCCCAGAGGGGCTGACACTTCAAATATTACAGAGAAGAAGAAAAGCAGACACCCAAGCAGGAAACCAAGACCCC